GTTCAGGTGTGATCAGGTAGGGACTCAGCCGATTTCTAGCAGCTATTTCCAACGCTTGCGTCAAACGCACCGCTTCATTGTGAAGTTCCATTATAGCTGCACTTATCCTCCGACCTGAGGTCTGAATCAAACTGAGGGAAGTAATAGACCTCCAAAAAGACCAAGCGGTCTCACTTAATTGTTGTTTCAATTTATGGGTCTCTTCCGTCATGTTTTTGGTGACCTCGATTATGAGGTCAATGCTCTCTCGATTTCTCCTCTCATTTTCTGCTGTGATATTTACCAAACTCGCTTGTTCCATTGCCAAATGGATAAGTTTTTTTGAAGTTCCAACTGTTTGATCAATTTTTAGGCTTAGCCTTTCGAGATCCTCGTTTGTGGCCGTACCGAACAGCCATTTCAATGCTTTACCTCCTAGATCAATCACACCTCTGGGTACTCTTTGGGCATTCCCGTCTCTTTGAGACCTTTCCATGGGAAAAGAACTTATTTGTTGAAGTTCCTTAAACCGCTGAGAAGACTCTTGAACTTGATTTTTGAAATAGTTTGCCTCTTCCCGCAAATAATGTAAAACTGGATTTGGGAAATTCCGGCCTGCTACAGTTCCCGTGGGTGCATCCCAGCTTTAATGTTCTTATCTTTTCATCTCACAGGAGTCCCAAATTGAAATTTGGCATATCAATAGAGGACATTTTGAAGAAGTTATGTTCGATTTAAGACAAAATGAGTCTGCAGACCATGCAGCAGAGAATATCAATAAACATGAATAACCAGCCACCTTAAAACTCTGCCTGTAATCGAATAGATTACTGTTTGTGGAGTCTGCTGCAAGTAATTATCCGAAAACGAAACCAAGCGACCTGAATCAATTAAGGCTGGTGCTGAAAGAGAAGTGGAACTAAGTCCGTCCATTGTAATCGACTAACAGACTGGAAGATTGCGAGTTGCCGTCAAGAAGAGGGACACCTAGAAAATATTGATATGTTGTGCATAGGTACAGCGTGCGAGCGAGTCGGTCTCTTTGAGATTCAGTCGACTCTAAGAGAATTTATTAGTACAGGAAATATAAGATCTGGTGTCAATATTTATGGTTCATTCTGTAAGTTGAAATGGTAGTGGATAGGCAGAAACACACCGCGAGGTTTACTCCACTTATCATGGCGAGTAGTATAAAAAGGGTAGGATCGACCGGTGGCGCAAGCCTGGCGCAATTTCCTATTCATTAAATCATCTCATTTCATATGAATTAACCTCAGGTTATCATCGATTTACACGAGTACTCAGTGAATTAACGTTGAATTATCGAGTGCGCAATGATTTGCATTTT